ATTGGGTACCCATTTTGAATGGAACGGGTATCCCATCCCGTCCCGTTGCCCACCCCTAGTGAGATCCAGCTTGTCATCCAATATGTACTTAATTGACACTAAAAAAATTGATTTACAGAGATAAATAACTAGACGCAATTATTGTATTAGTTTCTGTAACTAAACTTTTGAGATATAAATATTGTTTGTCTCGATATGTCATTGTATCTGTCTCTAATTCATAAAATTTTCAAAAGCTTTTAGAAAGAAATATGGTTAATACCTTATTTTGGCCTGAACTATGATCATATAATCAACCTTGCCCCGTGGTTTCAGAAATCAACATCTTGGCCTCAATTATGTCGCATATAGTCTCAATCTGCCCGACACATGGTTTGACCGTTAGTCAACACGCCATGTCAGCCTAAAAATCACGAGCCAAAATTGACTATATGATCAATTTCTGAAACCACGGGCCAAAATTGATTATATGATCATAGTTCAGACCAAAATGATGTATTAACCCAAATAAATATTATATGTCTCGCTATATTATTGTATTTGTCTCTATTTCATAACATTTTATAGGACTTATAGACATGAATATTATTTGTCTCGATATGTTATTTTATCTGTCTCTATTAACTAATTATAAAGCTTTTATAAACAAATAGTATTTGTCTCAACATGTCATTGCATTTGTATCGATTTATTATATTTTCAAACGACTAATTAAAAAAAATTAATTAATAAAGGTTTAATACACTTGTATATCCAAAACTTTCACGGTTGTGCCAATAATATCCAAATTTCCCGAAATACCACTTATATCCAATTCCTTCACATTCTTTAATGGTGTTTTTGGATATACAAGTGTATTTAACCAAAAATATATTGGGAAATGGATAGATTTGGCAAAGAACAACTTTAAAACATGGATATAAGTGGTATTTCGGGAAATTTGGATATTATTGGCACAACCGTGAAAGTTTTGGATATACAAGTGTATTAACCATTAATAAAAATAGGTATAATGTAAAGTAAATCAAGGAAGAAAACCTATTGACCTCCAATCTTTTTAAATGGTCTTTTTTAAAAAAAAAATATGGTCTTGCTTTAACTCCTCTCCCTGCAGGTTGAAAATGGCGTAGCAAATCTCTCCCGCGACGAGTGGGCCTCGGACTTGCCTCCAGGGGCCTCCTTCCCTGATGAGTTCTCTTATGGGTCCTCCTATCTTTAATTTCATTAATTCTGGTTGATGCTAACTCAAGGAAATCGATCAAGGTAGCAACCACTTTTGGAGCAGAGCAGATTAGTTAGAGGGAGACGATCCCTTGCAGTTGCAGGGCTCTTCTCTAATCTGAAGAGCGCGACACTCTCTGCTGCTCGCAAAATTGGTAGGAAAGTAATCGAAGCAAAAGGAGAAAATGAGAAAGCTGCTGTCGTTTAAACTTCTTTTGCTTTGACTACAAGTTTTTCTCTTCTCCAAGTCTTCGTTTTGCCCAGATCTAGATTGCACAAGTCCGATCCAGCCTGGTCTATGTCTTCCATGTGTGCCGCCAGTCGCTGATCTCGCTCTCGTTCAAGACCCTGATCGCACAAGTGTACTGAGACGTCACTCATCTCATTACTCTCCCTTCCAGCAGAAAAAAACGTCAATTTAACTTTTTTTTGTGGACATATATGTTGCTTGCTAGGAAGCCTTACAGAGAAATATGTTCCACTTTGAGATGGTTACTTGTGAAGATGAAAGCTTACAGAGATAGAAGTTATTTATTTTTATGTGTTCTTACGAATAATGTAATTATGCATTTGATTAATATGATTAAATAAAAAATAATTAAAATAATCTTGTGCTTATGAATTATGACCAATATGAATGATGTGTTCTCAAGTATTTGGAGACAATTATGATAGGAGATTATTTGCATCTAAAAGTAGAAACGACGACAAAACTATTTGCCTCTAAATATGTTTCTTTAGGCCAATACTATGGTGCCGTGGTAAAAACTGCGGCACCGGTGCCGCAACATCTGATTGGGCCACATGGAGGCTGACGTGGCATGGCTGGATATGTTTTGCTCTGGTTCAAACCTGTAGCCATGAGATTGGGCCTAACTGCTAGGTATCAAACAGACGGAAAAGCCTGACTGCCGTTATGCATTTTTACCAATCAATTCGGTTGAAATTTATTTTAATTGTATTTGTTTTTCCAACACAGAAATCGAACAAAAAGCCAGAGACTAGAAGGTCGTCTTCCTCGATCAGGCGCTCCTTCTCTGGCAAACTTCATCTTCGCTGACCCTTACGCCGCCATTAAACTTTTGTATTCCTCCTCGCTAACACAAGCAGCCATCTGTCTCGCTAGAGGTACTCTGCCGGCACCGTTGAAGACTATCCGTAGCCCAAGGAAGGATAGCCCTCCCACTATGTCGTCATTGTCACTCTTTACCCCCACCGTCACTGTTGGAATCGACTAAACTGGACGATTCGCAGCCCAAGGAAGGATAGCCCTATCTGACTATCTCTGTGTCGTCCTTGTCGCCCTTTGCCTCCGCCGTGGCTGTTGGAAATTGGAATAGAATAAAGTGAATTCGAATTTCGTTGGAGGGGCGTATAGACTCTCCACAACGACTGCACCCATTACAGGTAATTCAACGCTAGTAGGTGCAGCAACTAGGCCAATGATTCGCGTCATTATTCTCCTGCATTGGTTGTAATTCTTTGGTGCCTCTTAAATGTTAAGCTAGCGATGCTGCAATGGGAGCATTGTTTGGGTGGTATTACATTCTCAATTGATCTTTCTTTATTATGAGCAGCAGAGTGTTGTTGCTTTGTTAAGTGAAGATTCAGAGTACCATAGGGGACTGCAGACTACCATGGACTACCAATAACCCATCTTTGCATTACTAATAATACGTAATTTGGACTTTATAGTGAATGTTTGGCATGCTTTCCCTCGTTACACGCTAGTTTGGAGATGAAATAGAGTGTATGTCAGTTTCGAGAATTGGAGGCTTGAGAAACACTACAAAGAACCTGGTCGAGGTCATTGTTGCCTTCTTTACAACGCCAATAGTTGTTGGTTTTGGTTACTGGAGTCATGTGGGGCTGCATTTTTCATGGGAATCTGTAGATGTGAAATATAAAGATAGAGAAGTTTGAAAAGCCATGGACTTTGATGGAGTGTGGGGTTCCTGGGTTTGATTCCTTGAAAAGCCATGGACTTTGATGTTATGGCTATCTGGGAATGTAGTCATTGCCATGGACTTTGAATTGTTTTTATGCTTCTGTTAATCTTGTTTTTCTATGAGAATGCATTCATTGCTTGTGTCGAAAGCATTATTCAAATGGTTGTTAATGCTGCAGGTTGTAATATATTTTGTTGTCAAATACGTGATGCTTCAACTACAATTGATAGACAACAAATTTTACCCAGCTTAATGGAAGGTTTGGCTCACAACTCATGGTAATAATAATTACAATGTAAGTCTGTATAACTTAGAAGTGTTTTTTTTTATACAGGATTACACGAAACCTCTTTAGCTCGTGGAGATGATCCCCAGAATGACTTACTTTCTGAGAATTTTGATACAATTTCCCAACATCAAACTAGTGGTCATCCCCGTGAAAGTGCTGGTATGTCGCTCTTAAAGCTTGTTTGAAATAAATAAAGACCAGACGAGAAACTTGACACACCTCCAACCCGAATGGAAGGTTTGCTTCTCTACACATTGTATCAGGATTACATTTTACTTATTTATAGTGAAGTAAATAGTAATAAGTTAGTTTTGTTTGCAGGATCAAAATAACCTCTTTAGCTTGTCGAGCTGGCCCTCAAAATGACATGTTGACACCGTGGACACGATATTTAGAGAATGTTTGTGTAGTGGATAGTGACAGCCAGGGAAGTTAACCTTTGGCTTGAGTTTCTTTTATGCTTTTCCAAGTTGGTGGATTAATTGAGCTTTGTACTTGGGATTGGACGCTTCAAATCAGTGATCACGAGACTGAATATTGGGTCATTATATGGCATTTGTTGAGGTTATTTACTCGATAGATTTGCTGGAGGTGATGCGCGTTTGTTTGGTGTTAAGCTTCTCAGTTCTTCATGTCTGTTGTTCCTTCTCTAGTTTCTGATTTTTCTGCTGTACATAATATCAGTAACAACTACCAACTTTGTTATGCTGATTTGATCTTGGAATTAATAATTTTCATTAACGTCAACAATATGTACTTAAGATAGAAAATGTATTGAAGCTGAAAGTTGAGTACATCACTGCAGCTTTTGAAATAGTATTATTGAACACACTCCAACAATCTGAGATATCCATCAGTAGTTTTATTAAAGGAGTTGTTGTTCTTTGTTGACACTGTACATTCTCTACCAGTTGATAGCTCCATCTCCAGTTCTCCACCACTTGAAATCAGAAATCTTTGTTTCAACTTTAAAGAGGCCAAATCCAAGACAGAATCCCTGTGGCAACATGCAGAGTCTGTTGCAGCTGCTGCTAAGTCTGCCTTTGTAGTGAACTTTACTGTTGAAGTTTTTATAATCTACAGTTTAAAAGAAAAGAGGATAATGCTTAACGATGAGAATATGGCCACCAAAACAAATTAATAATGTTCAGCTCTCAACTAATAAGCAAGCTCTTAAGAAACGGTTAAGTATCGAACAACAGCTCTACCCCATTTTGAAGACTTGTTTCGCTTTGTCACAAATAGAACTTAGATGGATAATATAACAAAGCGTTACATAAGAAAACAGCATATATATATATATGTTTTCTACCATACACGCATCATCTAACTTACAACCTAGCTTACAGTTTTTTCTCATTATATCAGCCTCATCTCATTAGACAAGATGGAGAAGCAATAACTATAAAACAGGCAGCTTATATAGTGGCCATTGATAATGGCGATTATAGAAGGAAAAGGTTGTGTCAGAGTGACCAACTAAGCACAAAGTCAAGTCTATGACTATGAGATTCAGAGAGACAACTATTTATTTAATTAATGATCCTCCAGTTCAGGCAAACTCATATATGCGAATGAAAGAGTTTTTTTCTTTCTCAATTCTTGCTAACTGTATCGAAAATTGTACACATTTGCTTCGGTTCTCAGCAAGTTCGTCTGACTGTAAGTAAATGAGACTAACACATTAGCTAACAAGAGAAATCGGTATTCCTCTTCCAATAACAAAATATAATGATGGGGCACTCTAATCAACCAGCGTGAGCCACTGGTTCATCTACAGATGCGTCGAGCCTGTAAATGAAGCGTAAACTGTTCATAGTTTAGTTCATATACGCCACCCAATAGGGAAAGCTGAAGACTACTTATGATTTGGCGAAACCATTAAAGTACATCATGTTATCCAAAAAAACATTATTCCTAGGAGTAAAGAGTACTTGCAATAGGCTTTCTACTGCGGCCTTCAACCATTTGTTATATGGTAATCTGTTATTCCCTGTACTTTCTGCTTGATGGAACATAGAATTTTGAAATCAGTTAAGTGGAGAAAATATCCACCGAAACACACACATATCCTACAACAAGTTATTGCATACCTGAGACTTTAGAATCCCACGCTCACTCTCCAATGCCTCAGCAAAAACAAGCTCCTTGGTATAGAAATGGCAGATTTACGGCAACCACACGCATTGCCAGCTCTTATCAAACACGTTGGAGAGCATCCAAGTGAGAACTTCCATCCTCAGTTTGCATGTTAACCTCGTCTATTACTTGAGAAATCAAGCTAATGCAATAATGCAAAGCTGACCTGCATCACAATAACAGAACAACCTCATTCTAACCGTAAAATTTTGCTGCACTGTAACCCATAAGCAAAGGATAACCCTCAACATGAATTGAACTCTACTATTAAATGATCGATTTAGCTAAGCGGAATTCGCCTAAACCCAACTTTATAACAAAGAAAGAGATAATACCTCGGGGAAGAAGAGATTTCGATAACGGAGGCAGTGAAGGAATTTAGTGGAGGTGAATCAGAGAGGTTGTGGAGGAGGTTGCATCGGCGGTGGACAAGTTCGCCGAAACACTTTGTTTTTTCACAGTAAGCCGGAGAGGGAGAAGAGGGAAGACGACGTTGGACTCTGGTGAAAATCAAGTGAGACAGAGAGATTTTCCGTCTGGTTGGTCTACAGCCGGGTTTGGCCAGTTTCGTGGATCAATGGGTTTGAAGTGGATTTATTCCATCCCGTTTATACCACGTCACTTCCACATGGCCCAATCAAAACCTGCGTTACCAGTGCCGCACTTTTAATAGCGGTACCGTGTGTATATATATATATATATATATATATATATATGGTGACTACTTCGGCGCACTCACAAAAATGGGTGCGTTCAATGCACCCAACTCAAAATCTAGTCTTAAGGAGTCGGATTTTGAATTTTAATTTGTAAATTAGTATAATATGATGATATAACATATGATAACAACTAATTAGCGGATTACCCTAAGGCCTAGACCTCCAATTTTGAGTTCTATCCCTAAACCCCAAACTGTAAACCCTAACCCTAAACCTAGATCTTTAAACTCTAAATCCTTCAAATTAAAGCAAATCTTTCATGGTTTTTGTGCAAATTCATGTGCATTATTGTTCATCACATCATAAGTGATGATTGACATAATTTTGACATAAATCTCATGTTTAAAATGACGATTATGAAGCGAGTGCACTGAATGCACCCAAAAAAGTGAGTGCACCGAAGACGCCACCATATATATATATATATATATATATATATATATATATATATATATATATATATGGTGAGTTCTATGGTACCCTGAGTAAAATCCAGGGTATTGCATACCTTGAGTATGAAAACACTATCTAGACCTTGAATTGACCGATCTTTCGGACATGATACTATACTCTAGCCCTTAAAGATCAAAATCTAGGTCTTAATTCTCCCAATCTTATACTCCATGATCAATTGAATTAGAAACAATAATCGATGGTTATGATTCATCCAAATATAGGCACAAAAAGGAATGCACCATCTTAGGGTTTATAGATTATGATTTAGATAATTAGGACCTAGGGTTCACTCATTAAGGGTTAGGGTATAGTATCAGACCCAAAAATCCTGCTAATTCGAGGTCTAGATATCGTTTTCATACTCAAGGTATGCGGTACCCCGGATTTCACTCGGGGTACAGTAGAAGGCACCATATATGTATATATATATATATATATATATATATGGCAAAGGCTAGCGTACGCCCGGGCGTACCTTAGTCTACCGTACGGCCGTTGAGTTTTACTATTTAGATCATGAATTAATAGGAGTTTTTGGCATGATACTATACCCTAACCTCTAATGGATAAACCCTAGCCCCTAATTCACTAATTCAAAGCATAATATTCATTTAATCTTGAAATGAAAATCAACGGTCTTGATTTGTCAAAATTATTGTTGATTTAATTTTTAAGATTAAATGAATCTCATGAGTTGGTTTAGAAAATTAGGGACGGGGTTTATCCATTAGAGGTTAGGGTATAGTATCATGCCAAAAACTCCGGTTAATTCATTGTCTAAATAGCAAAACTCAACGGGCGTACGGTAGAGTAAGGTACGCCCGGGCGTACGCTAGCCTGAACCATATATGGCAAATATATATATATATATATATATATATATATATATATATATATATATATATATATATATATATATATATTTAAAGTTCTTTAAAAGCTTATATAGATGTCTTTATTATTTGAAGTACATACTATTTATATCTATATTTGTCTCCAAAAGGAATCCGGGGCAAAGGAAAAGAATTCAAATAACATATTTACATCCAAAGACATACAAAATCAAATAAGTGACATTTAAGCGCAAATAACCTTTGTCTCCAAAATCTAATTTTCTTGTAGTGTAATTGCATGCATAATAAAGATTCAAGAAATCATTAGATGTAAGATAGATATTGGAGTTCTTCCTAGTTCACCTAGGCACGTCAGAGCGTTGGAAGGAAAAAAATAACAAAATATTTTACTATCGTCTAGAGTGTATAAACTTGTATTGTATATTTCTTTTTCTATTTCTATATAACCATCTATTCGATTACCAGTTTATAAAGCAAATTAAATCATATCATCGGCCTCTTATTTATTAGGGCTGGCAATTTGGTCCAGGACTGTTTGGTTTTACCCGAAACCGGCCCGTATAACCCGGACCGAGACCGGACTGGGACCGGATAGCAAACAATCCAATCTCATATTCGGGCTTAGATTTGAGGTAAAAAACCCGGATAAAGACCGGATAAGAGACCCCCAACACTCAAATTCCCACAAGTTCAATCTAAAATCAAAATCAATTTGGGACCGGACCGGATCAAGACCGGAGTGTATCCAATCCAATCTTTGGTCCTTATATTCCCGAAAAGACCGGACTGTGACCGGATCAATTTGGTCCAATTTAACCGGACCGAACCGTATGGCCACCCCTATTATTTATAAACCCTCCTCAACAACACATGGAAAAGTTGTACAAGATATTGTGGAGAAACGAGGAAGGAAGAAGAAGTAGCGTAATAGATGATTGAGAGAGAAGAAACACAGAAAAGGGAAGAAGAAGAAGAAACTGCCTAAAAAGGATCATCTCTAATTATAACCTAGTGACAAGCAAAACTCGGGAGTGAAAGAAGGAAAATGGAGGGAGATCTTCGATTTCTCTCCAACCCAATATCAGACCGAGAGGGAGAAGAGAGACAATGACGTCATTCTAAAGTACGACTCAGTATTGTCTAGGTGCCAACAAACACAATTGACGCAGTCAAAATGCCTTCTAAACATACCTTTATGGAGGTTCTCCTCCGGAACCACTTTAATTGCATCTTCTCTGGCTCCTGCTCAGAGGGCGGAAGGACAATTAGGTAAAAATAGCATTTTAATTGACGGTAGGGCCCGTTTTTGTTACCGGCTCCGGGTTAACTCTGGTCGACCCGCGGGCTGACCCGCGGGTTGACAACCTTGCGGTAGGCTTACTTCTTGCAATAATATATATACCTCGGTGCACTCACAAAAAAGAGTGCGTTCAGTGCACCCAACTCAAAAACTAGTCTTAAGGTGTCGGATTTTGACTTTTAATTTGCAGAATTAGTGTAATATGATTATATAACATATGATACCAACTAATTAGCGGATTACCTAAGCCTTAGACCTCCAATTTTGAGTTTTATCCCTAAACCCCAAATTGTAAACCCTAACCCTAACCCTCAATCTCTAAACTCTAAATCCTTCAAATTAAAATAAATCTTTAATGGTTCTTGTGCAAATTCATGTGCGTTACTGTTCATCACATCATAAGTGATGATTGACATAATTTTGACATAAATCGCATGTTTAAAATGTCGGTTATGAAGCGAGTGCACTGAATGCATCCAAAAAAGTGAGTGCACCGAAGACGTCACCATATATATATATATATATATATATATATATGGGGAGTTCTACGGTACCCAGGGTGAAATCCGGGGTACCGTATACCTTGAGTAAGAAAATGCTATCCAGAACATGAATTGACTGATCTTTCGGACATGATACTATACTCTAACCCTTAAAGATCAACACCTAGGTCTTAATTCTCTAAATCTTATACCCCAAGATCAATTTAATTAGAAACAATAATCGACGGTTATGATTCATCCAAATATAGGCAAAAAAATCAATGCACCATCTTAGGGTTTATAGTTTATGATTTGGATAATTAGGACCTAGGGTTCACTCATTAAGGGTTAGTGTATAGTATCATGCCCAAAAATCCTGCTAATTCGAGGTCTAGATAGCGTTTTCATACTCAAGGTATGCGGTACCCCGGATTTCACCCGGGGTACCATAGAAGGCACCATATATGTATATAATACGAAGGAGTGTGGCATACATTGCTACCAGGTGATGAACATATATGAGCAGCCTGAAATATTAATTTATATGGCAATTACAGGGCAACATCATTAAACAATGAAAAGACCTTAACCCAAAATTAACAAAGCCAAAAACAAAATACGTGAGCTTAATAGGAATCACAATGGATAGTTCGGGTAGGTATATTGACACGCCAAAACACAACACCAAACTACGACCAAGTGTAATCGCAGTCCGGGAATGCAGTAACAGGCAAGTTCTATTATCAACTCGGGGTCTAGATCTACTGCTTACTCCGTGATGATTTATTATCTAGCAAACTAATTCGAGTGATTGTTGTTTAAAGCAAAAGCAGTAAGAAAGCAGGAAATGGTTCGGTTTTCAAAAGCAGGAAAGAGTCACTCGGGAATGAGTCCCCCTAGCCCCTTAGTTAGGTTCAATTGTAATTCCCCTGGGTTGATTCACTATTGATTAGACTGCGGAAGATCCGACAGTAGCTTGGAATCTCTTAAGCTGACCAAGCCCTCTCAGTCTAACTACCCGGCAGACGACTAGTCTTCACCGGTATGGAAAGCTGAAGCAATAAGCACATAACTCCACTATTGGAATTGAATTCCAGTACAAAGCAGTAAACTGGCTAACTCTCGTATAGCCAATCTCCTACTATCGAATGAAGAGGTTCTAACAACCTAATCAGATTCTATCTATCTAAGGTTGCAGCAGAAATCAAGAAAAGCTGATCAGACTTCAATCAATTCAATAAACATGCATCATTCGATTAAAATCAAATAGTATAATCATCCCAAGTCATTACAATCAAATCCCTAACACAAGGAACTAGGGTTCTTCATACCCAAGTGAGAGAAAGGTTCTACTCCATAGAGAGAGAAAGGAAAACAGAAATCAGAGTAGTCATACTCATAAAGATGAGGAAAATCTGCTCTGGGATGTCAATCTTCACTCCTGGGGACGCAATCTGGGCTTCAATGGTGAGAAATCCACTCCAAAATAGCTCCTAGGGTTTGTTCTTCGTTCTTTCTCTCTCTAAAACTCTGTTTTTGCTCTAGAAACTCGAATGAATCTTCCTTGGCTCGAATCTGCCTCCAAAAACCCGACTCTGGTCGAATTACGGGCTGAATTACGGCGTAATCACTGCCTGCCCGTAATTCGCCCCAAAACGCACGTTTCAATTAAACTGAAGGAGGAGGATCTACGCCCGTAATTCCACAATTACCGC